TCAAACAATATGGTTTCTGTTGGGGGAATACCTAAATCCAGTTCTTCTAACATCAATAAAATAGCATCCACATCTGGAACCCAGACCACATGTGAATGGCTCCACAGGGTTTGGTCATTCTGTTTTGAAACAAGGAGGCAGAAAACATAATGTGTTCTTAACAAAAGAATCCACATTTGTCATAAAATAATTAAAAGAATAAACAAAGTGATTTTATTTTGGGGTGGTGTACAAAAATGTTAACTGAAGTTAGATATTACAATTTAAACAGTGGCTTTGTTTAATAAGAATTCCAAGCACTTTCTCCCTTGATCTGGATTTTTTTATGTGCATCATTTAAAAAAAACATAATATTTTCAAAATCATTTTAAATTATGGTCCCAATGTTGTGTAAATCAATCCTGCAAATAAAAATTTAAAAGGAGAAATTCATATACTATTTTTGTTGTTTTCCCTGACAGCCAGTTCTGGGATGATAGAACGAGAAGGAACTCTCCTTGTCCACCTGGTCTAGGAAACATAGCTTATGGAATTATAAAAGTAATGTGATCCCGATTGCAAACCGGAGGATGGCATCGATAAGGCACATTAATCAGTTCATTATCTGAGAGTTATGCCAGTTTATGGGGGAAGTATTGAGAAGCGGGACAGCAAAACCACTCATAAAAAATTTAAGGGCTGTTTTCAGAGAATTGCAAATAAAAACCACAATGAAATATCATATCACACCAGTCAGAATGGCTATCATCTGAAAGTCAATAAATAACATATTGTTGAGGATGTGGAGAAAAGGGAACCTTCATGCACTGTTAATGGAATGCAAATTGGTGCAGACACTATGGAAAAGAGTATGGCGCAGCCTCAAAAAACTAAAAATAAAACTACCATATGACCCAGCAATTCCACTTCTGGGTATTTATCTGAAGAAAATGGAAACTCATTTGAGAACATATACACACTCCTATGTTCATTGCACCGTAGCCAAGAATTGGAAACAACCTAAGTGTTTACACACACACACACACACACACACACACACACAATGGAATTTACACAGCAATAAAAAAATAAAATCTTGCCATTTGCAAGAACATAATGGACCAAGTAGGTATTATGCTAAGTGAAATAAGTCAGACAGAGAAAGACAAATACCATATGGCTTCACTTAAACATGGAATCTTAAACAAACATAAAATGAACAAACAAAACAAAAACAGAATTGTAGAAACTGTGATTAAAACTGATGGTTGCCAAAGTGGTGTGGGTGTGGGGATGAGTGAAAAAGGTAAAGGGGAATTATATATAGTCAATAACATTGTGGTAAGTTTGCACAGTAATAGATGATTACGACTTAGTGTAGTGATCACATTGTAAGGTATATGAATGTTGAATCACTATATTTAGACAAGAAACTAATATTATATATAAACTATAATTAAATTTAAACTGAAAAGGGCAATCTGTTTTTTTTAAATAAGAAGAAAGAAAGCTTTTGAACTGAAAAAGAAGTGGACTATTGATGAATGATTTTATCTGTCCACAGGCCTTTATATAAAGATCTGTTCCCTCTTTTCAAGCAATTAAACATAATAAAATCAGCTAAAGATTTTTAGGTGAGACAGTAAGAATTTATTGAAAAACAGATTCATTAGCCACATTAAATATCTTCAAAATAAAGGTGTAAGTTTAGGGGTCTTTAAGATTTGTTTGTATTGATTTAGATAACATTTACTTGGAAACAGTTAACAAGATAAGGAGTTTTCTGGTCCTGGGGTACTGTGACACTTTTTGCAAAAACATTAGAGACAACCTGAAATTTTTATTTAATATTGTTGCCTAACCAAAGTTATTTTATGATTTGCTAAGTGTAAAGAAATATAAGACAGAAGCTAAATATTTTCGTATGAATGGCTCTCTTATTGGAAATATATCTTCTATCTAAACTATAACCACAAAATAATCTTTACATTAAACATTTTTAGGGTTTGTCGACACTTTCCAGACATAAAAAATTAAAGGAACTTTCTCTATCTGAGTGTTATGAATTCACCAATTATGGAATTCAGGTAAGATAATTAAGTCATTTTGATAAAGAATTAAGATGGAAAATTAAGCACAAATTAAATAAACTTTGTAGGTCACAGTGGGAAAAATGGTTTGGAAATATAACTACATGTATGTGATCTTGGTTGAGACAAAATCAATTCCTAGGATCAATAGGTATAGGTCGACATTTTACTTGGAGAATGATGAAATGCAAGATGGTAAAAGTGTAAACCTATAAAGGTGTCCTGCATATAGAAATGTTATATAGTCTAACCATGAAAATTGGGAGAGTTTGGAAAGTTATACCAGGTATAACAATTAGGAACTTAAGTTTCTCAAACACAGCGGGTAGCATATTTTACCCAGAATGGAAAGCATGAGGTAAGTAACTGGATATTATAAACAATTACATGTTCAATTAGTACTTTAAAAACTCATGAGAAAGGTAAATTTCCTAGACCTAGCCTTGAGGCATACCTAGGAAGTCACAAAGTAGCTACTATGAGGAAGGTCCAACAACATTAAGCATATCAATGTACTGTTACAGTAGAAAAACCAGAATCACATGTCATACATGTATTGAACTAGGATAAAATCTGGTTGCCTATTAGTAAATCGTGGAAGGTAACATTTTAAAAGGGAACCAATAAACTAGGAATGGGTAAATGTTAAATACTGGAAGCTCCATATAAAGTTTCCTGAGAGTTCAAAATCCCTGAGACTTATAGAAACCCGGAGCTAAACTAGAGGGAAAAAATTTAAAGAAAGAAACTTCTTGAAGTAAAAGGATTTATCCCACAAGTGGAAGATAACACAAGTGATAGCTGACAAGTCCACAGAGAATGTCAAACTTGAAGATATCTTCCATGAGTCTGTAAGCTTCTTTACAAGAAGTTCTAACATGACTAATAGGAGAGTGTTAAAGTATTATATAAACTGGTGAGCTATAGAGGGTGCCAGATCAAACAGTGCTATAGACTTGAGCATATAATTCTAGTTTTACAAAAACGGAGAATAGAAATGGAGGACTGCTGCTTTAAATGGTTGACTGACAATATGACTTAGTGAAGAAAAATTGTTTTCAAATTATTTTGACTATATTTCATTTTGTCTGGACAATATAATGGTACTTAAGGGAAAAATTTAAGAAATCTTTAGGGGCATTAGTGTCAAGCGATGTCAATTTCTCCCAATTCCAGATCCTGGGTATCAAGATTCTAAGAAGTTCCTAAGAAATGTGCTTACTACTATATTCAATTGTATAAAGAATTAAAAAGAACAAACTCTATCCTTAAAAACAAAAATCACAGAGAGGTCAACAAGTTCCATTTAGGACAAGATTGTAACTCTACAGTAACAAAAAGGGTTACAGAACATTTAGACGCATGTAACCTACTAGGAGAAAAAGCCAAAAGGTTCCTCTAAGAACAAACCATGATTTACTAGTAACTATTGCAGCTCATTTAAGGATTAAACATGCATTTACACAAAACTTTATCCATGAATATGATTTAGTCAGGCTTTCAAAGGGTCTTTGACAAGGTGATAGAGCAAAGGCTATTAAAATAAAAGTTAAATATTAATATTGAATTATATTTCTTAAATGGTAATTACATTTGACCAATAACTATGAATCATTCAGAAGTATTAAAATCATTCAGAAGTGTTGAAATGGCCTCTTAATATGCATCACTTATTAATTTTTAAAATGCTCCTTTGGGTGAGAGTGCTGATCGAACGGTGAGGCTAAGTACCAGGAAGCCAGCATTTTTTGCCATTTCTCTTTTGGTCAGTGGGTTCTAGTCATTTTTATTTTCACTCTTTAGAGCTTGAAAATTACCCTATTTTTAGGTACTCTGAGATACTTTAGATTAAAGCATTTACCCATATGCTAACTATATGGTCACACAGCTGAGTTTAGCATAGCTTTAAAAAATGTAATCTTTTGCCCTGGCTGGTGTGGCTCAGTGGCCCATACACCTGAAGGGCTGCAGGTTTGATTCCTGGTGAAGGGCATATTTCAGTTTCATTCCCTGGCCCCCATCAGGGTGCGTGTGGGAGGCAACCAATTGATGTGTCTCTCTCACATGGATGTTTCTCTCTCTCTCTCTCTCTCTCCTCCTCCTTTCCCCCCTTTCACTCTCTCTAAAAATCAATGGAAAAATTATCTTCAGGCAAGGATTAACAAAATAAATTAAATAAATAAATCCTATATAATAAAGAGCTAATATGCAAATGGCCATCATGCCCTCACACCATCACGATGTGATGCCCTCATGCTGTCACAATCCATCACCAGGATGCTGCGTGCTCAGTGGGTGCACGCGGGTGGGCAGGACTGCGTGCGTAGCAAGGCCTGGGAGTCCCGCAGCTCCGTGTGGCATGGAGGCAGGACCCCGGCTCCGGCCTACCTCTTTGGGGCAATCCATCCAGGAGCCCTGGATGGGTGGGTGAGGCCTATCTCTTTGGGGTGATTGATCGCGGGGTTCCCACACTGTGAGAGGGCACAGGCCAGGCTGGGGTACCCCCCAGAGTGCATGAATTTCATGCACCGGGCCGCTAGTAAATAAATAAAAAAAAATAAAATCTTTTACAATAGGTGCATATTTATTTTCAGTGATTTACAAGAAAAAAATGGGTGAATACAGGAGCATAGAAATATAGAATTATTTAATTATTAGTTGCACAAGATCAGCTGTTCTATTAAAGTTTACAAAAAATTGTTTCTCTTATTATCCCCTTTTCCTGCCTTTGGGGTGTGTGTGTGTGTGTGTGTGTGTGTGTGTGTGTGTGTGTGT